AACTACATAGAGAATGAATGGCAGCGCCACCACCGAGGCGTTTTTGACGCTTGTCATGTGAAAGCCCGAGAGCCGCACGGAACAAGCCAAAGAGCCGCGGGTTGGCCACCCCTGAAGTAGCACATCAGGGGCGTCAGTTTACTGAAGGCGCTTTGCGCACTGCAGGACTTTGTAGGAGCTAAGAAATTAGTTTCTAGCATAATTCACAAGTGTGTCACTTGTAGGAAACTAAGGGGTCATTTGGAGGAACAGAAAATGGCTTCCTTACCCGTTGATAGACTTACTGTAGATCCGCCATTTACTTACGTAGGTCTAGATGTTTTTGGACCTTGGAATATAACATCCCGCCGCACAAGGTCAAATAGTGCAGAAAGTAAAAGGTGGGCTGTGATGTTTTCATGTCTTAGTACTAGGGCAGTACACATAGAAGTTGTCGAGTCAATGTCAACTTCTAGCTTCATTAACGCTCTGCGCCGATTCCTGTCAATCCGAGGTCCAGTCAAACACCTTAGATCAGATCAAGGTACAAACTTTATTCGGTGCTTGTAACGAGTTAGGGATCAAATCTAAGGATCCAGAAATCAAGAACTTCTTACAAGACCAGAGCTGCACATGGACTTTCAATGCACCACATTCTTCTCACATGGGAGGTGTGTGGGAAAGGATGATTGGTCTTGTCCGAAACATTCTTGATGGTTTGCTCTTAAAGAACTCAAACACTCGCCTCACACACGAGGTGTTGGTCACTCTAATGGCTGAGGTCATGGCCATAATGAACGCCAGACCTTTAGTCCCTGTAAGCACAGACCCTGAAACTCCAGAGGTCTTGTCACCAGCAATGCTTCTCACTCAAAAGGCTTCTCCTGTCTTGTCGCCGCCTGGGAACTTTGAACTCAAAGATCTTTATAAAGAATGCCCAATCTTTATAACTTGATGCCCAGTGGCATCAAGTCCAGGGCCTTGCAGACTGTTTGTGGAAAAGGTGGAGGCAAGAGTACCTCCCCACATTGCAAACAAGACGTAAATGGAACAAAGACAAACCAAACGTAAAAGAAGGAGACATTGTTTTATTAAAAGACACTCAAGTCAAACGTAATGAATGGCCTGTTGGTATTGTGGTTAACGCCATTTCTAGTGGTGACAAAAAGGTCAGGAAACTTGAAGTTAAAGAGGCTATATGGAAGTTTCACCACTTATAAAACTATACAGAATTAAAATTTCTTCCACATACATTCTCCAGCAATGCCTTGGTGTGTAGAATGAGCCCTGGCATTTTCATTGCTATTGCCTCTATATGCCTATAAACATGTCTTTATATGCTTGGAATTTGAGGATTCGGGTCGAAACCATCCAGGGCAGCGTGATGCGTAATGACGTCATGCGCGTTCACGCTAAGCTGTAGCAGCGCTAGCTACTTGTGTTATTAGTGCATCTGCAGAGCGAGAGGTGACTGTGGGAGGATGGATACAGCGAAGAACAACAAGAGACCGGCTTCGAGCAGCGCCGAAACTCCAGCAAAGACCCAAACTAAAGCAAAGAAACGGAACATTATTTCTAGTGTGACCAAAAGGGCGAAACTCGAGTCTGACCGCCGTAGGCAACAAACGAGGGTAAACCTTGGAGTTGCTTTTGAGAGGTGGAAAACTCTGAGAGAACTTCTGGGAATGAGAAAAGACCCACAGTTGGCATCATTTCTGCTTGAAAGGTAAGATATTATCTCTAAACACATGTGTTTATGCTTTCAAAGCAGCGGTGTCCGTGCATTGAAAGGCTACGTAGCGAAATTTTCTAAATACTATCTGTAATACGCATTTCTAGCTAGATCCCTGCGTCAAACTAACACACTAGCTAGCATTAGCTGGCAAAGCCCAGTGAACTGCGGTTTGTTTACAAATGGGGCTTTTTCTAGAACTACACCACCTTACGAACATTTTCCCTTTTAAATGTATGTACATTGCAATCGCAATAGTAACTAGTTAGTTGTCGAGCGTGTAGAGTCTTTGAAACATACGCGTGTTATTGTAATTGTCTCACTGCAATACTTGATATTGCCATCGCTAGCAGTAACAATGGCTCTATTGTTGTAGTTACGAGAGGCACCCTCTATCAAAGGGACCACTCACGTCCACACCCCATGGCCCATCAGCAGAGGTGTTGATGGGGCCCCATCCCCCCAGTTCAGTGACTGCAGGCGAATCTGATAGGTAAGTTTGCCAAATGCAACTTCTGCTTACAGGTTACCACTCATCCACCGTCAACTAAAAAGTATTTTGTCCTACAGGGAAGACTTTCACATTGCAGGAGTTGAACAATTGAGGAGTTGACAGCAGATACAAGGTTACAATCGTTAGAGGAAAGGTAAACATGCATGAATTTTAACATTTGACGAATACTGTTTTTTGTAATGAATGTAAATTGTCTTATTGTGAAGCAGCAAATCAATGGAGCTGAAGGAAGAGGCTTTGAATGAGGAGCAAGCCAACAATCTGGAAAACAGTGTGTACGTTATTCTCAATGTAATTCAATGTGTATGTGTTGGTTCATAATTTACATATTGGGCTGTTCTTTTTTAATTCCAGAATAGAGTTTGAGGGGGATGGAGTTTCAGACCCGTATGATTCAGATTATGTGCCACCAATCTCATTACGGTATGTATTTTTTTCCTTATCTTTTACTTTTCACTCACTGATAGTATACATTTCATTTGGGTTGTAAAATAGCGGTGCATCGCAAGATATTGTCGACAAACTTCCTTGCATTGGGCTGGAAGAATCTATATTAGACATTGCAGACTGTGTTGAGGAAGTCCAAGAAGCAGATCTTGAGGAAGATTTGGAAGAAGAGGCAGCAGCCACCATTCCCATTTTCCCAAAACCATATCGAGTGGTTGTTGAAAGTGACCTTGTAAACCAGCAGGCATGCATAGCATACAACAAAAACCTGCTGCAGATGGCAACTTTTCTCCAATTGCCTGTCAATAAATGCCACTACAGTGACCACACAGGCACAGAGTGTGACGGCCGTCCACCCTTTTCTGTAAAGTCACATGCGTGAGGTACATCTTTGATATTGGAGTGGGTGAGTTTACATGGTTTGCACATGTGTTTACCAGACTAAGTACAAATATGGTATATGTGTGAAGTTACAGACTTGTTAACACTTTCTTCCCCATATAGTTTTGCCCGCACGGCCACAAATTATGGAGTTTATGCACGGAGGAGATATTATGTTGTTCTCCAATATTTCCCTCTTATTCAAATTCATGAATATCTGCATGTGGCCTCCTCAACATCTTATGCAGTCCAGGGAACCTACTGTCTAAAAACAATAAAGCAGTTTTGGGAGGAGAAAAGGACTGCTATCATCAACAGATTAGAGTCCAAAGACAACGTTGTTGCCCTTGGTAAGTAAGCATATTCATTTCTAAGCCCGTGAATATGTATGCTTACATGCCTTTTGTGTTTATGTTTTAGGTGACAGGAGGATCTACTTTCCAGGTAATGCACAAATCTCTGTGGTATTTCATTAATATCGGTGTCTTGTTATTGAAATGTTTGTCATTATTTCCCCCACAATCTATATATTTTTCCAAAAAGGTCACTCTGCTATGTGCTGTACATACACAACGATGGAGCTAGACACCATGGACATCGTAAGTGTTTATTGTATTTAACACAGGTCTGGTAAGACTTTTTAAAATATAATTGTGGTGTCTTCAATCAGGCTGGAATCGTTTCTGGTCAAAAGGCTTTACTTCTATGGATTGAGGACATCTTTAACCATTTCTGGTATGCTTGTCAGCACACAAGCACCAGAGAGGAGTTTATGGTCTGTATGAACATTGGATATTTATAACGTCACTAGATAATGTAATTTTCTCTTTATGTGGTGACATGGTATAACTTTTGATATACGACGTATTGTATACATTTAGGGTGTGTGGAGAGGTGCACTTCACCATATGTGCCTCTGGAGGATAAACAGGACAAAGAGCCCATTCCACGTGGTTCTTAACCGGAGGTGGCTGAAGGATATTGAAGTTGCTCACCTTTCGGTAAGTCATGTGGGTGACATCTTATGGGAATGTACAGGAACTGCCTTTTTAATACTACAAAGTATATTATATTACACAGAGATCGAATTTATTTGTATGTTTGACGTTACAATAATCTTTGTTCTGTAGGACAACTTCGAAGCTCGAATCTTTCCAAAACCATGTCCTGATGTACGCAGGGAAGCGTTTTGGATTTACTTGGCGCCTATGAAGCTTGTACACTCCTCGCTGCATTAGACTACAACCTCCATAACCATCGCCCAGTGCATGTGAGCAGCAAAGGCCAAGTATCGTACGTCATACTTTATTATCAAGATACAGTATAAAAGCAATAAAGAAATATATGATTTCTACTGATGTCTACAGAAAAAGTCTCAGCGTTACACTGTGAAGGAGACTAAAGACTACAGCTCTATCCCAGACCAGCGCCTCAGCTCTGCTGGGGGACTCTCAAAAAATGTAAGCAGATGACCCCAGGGCCATGGGTCCTCTGTCCTCCTCATCCCTCCTCCTGCTGGGGACTCATGACCCCAGGGCCATGGGTCCTCTGTCCTCCTCATCCCTCCTCCTGCTGGGGACTCATGACCCCAGGGCCATGGGTCCTCTGTCCTCCTCATCCCTCCTCCTGCAGCTGAACTGGAGCAGACACAACAGAGGACAGGTAGTGATGATAATCAAGTGGGAAAAAAATCTCTGATATAAAATATTCTTCTTTCTTTTTCTAGGACTTTTTTATCTGGTCCCTGAACAGAAGCTGACAGCAATCAAAGATGGACACAGCACATTTATTTATATTATGTCAAATATAATTTTTTTTCCCCCAAACATTGAAATAAAAGAAAGACTCATTTCTAAAGTGGTGATGAGTTGAATTTTAGTTTTAATTCCCTACTGTGGAACGAATAAAGGGGCGTCTTTATAACCCACATGTCCTGCTCTTCTCATTCTAGCCTGGCCTCTCCTCTTGCTGCTCCTCTTCCTCCTCTGGCTGCTCCTCTTCCTCCTCTGGCTGCTCCTCTTCCTCCTCTGGCTGCTCCTCTTCCTCCTCTTGCTGCTCCTCTTCCTCCTCTGGCTGCTCCTCTTCCTCCTCTTGCTGCTCCTCTTCCTCCTCTTGCTGCTCCTCTTCCTCCTCTGGCTGCTCCTCTTCCTCCTCTGGCTGCTCCTCTTCCTCCTCTGGCTGCTCCTCTTCCTCCTCTTGCTGCTCCTCTTCCTCCTCTGGCTGCTCCTCTTCCTCCTCTGGCTGCTCCTCTTCCTCCTCTGGCTGCTCCTCTTCCTCCTCTGGCTGCTCCTCTTCCTCTTCTTGCTGCTCCTCTTCCTCCTCTTGCTGCTCCTCTTCCTCCTCTGGCTGCTCCTCTTCCTCCTCTGGCTGCTCCTCTTCCTCCTCTTGCTGCTCCTCTTCCTCCTCTGGCTGCTCCTCTTCCTCCTCTTCTTGCTGCTCGTCTGCCTCCTCCTCTCCCCCATTCAAAGTCACTGCTCTCAGAAACTACAGATTCAACTGGACTGGAGTCCTGGAAGGAAAAGCAAAAAGATTTAGATGTCACTGTTCTGGAATGTATGTTTTGTACAAACTTCATCGAAAAATATTTTGAATTTATCAGAAGAGTTGATATAGTTTTATACCTACAGACAACTTGTGTAGTATTAGTAGCAGACTAGTGTCAGTAATAACACTAATAAAAACAAAACAGTAACAGTGGTAATTATGCTGTATTTTCTATGGGAATAATAATGTTGCTAATGTTAGCTTGTCTTGGCTGCAAAATAAGAGTGACTTCACTGATTTATGTTTATGAGTAGTAAATATACTACAAAAAGTCTCATGCTACGCTAACCTTATTGTTACAGAGTCTAGTGCTTTATGTATTCTGTCATCCTATCATAAGCACCGCCAGGGCGCATGCGCGTGTGTCTCATATACGGCCTCGGTGCCGCAGTCTTGCTCAGTTTGATAAAGCACCTTATACTTAACTCGTGTCTCCGCATTCCTTCTCTACCGTTCTGCACTAGACACAAACATGGTGTCAGAAGTGGTGACTACGTTGTACCATTCGTTGTACCTGTAATACGTAGCTGTGTTCTCCAAACCGGGCGGCTGGCGCCATTCATGTCCGACGCAGAGGAATCAACAGGCACCGCGTTCGCAGTGAGCATGGCGGCTAACATTCCCCCGCCGTCTGTGATGGGCTTCACGGGCGATTGGAGCACTAACTGGGATGTTTTCCGCGCGGAATATGAAGACTATGTTCTTGTGACTGGAGTGGCGGAAAAGGACAAAAAAATACAGGCGGCAACTCTCCGCAGTGTTATGGGCAGCGAATGCAGACATGTTTACCGTCACAACCTAAACCTCACGGCGGAGCAGAGAGAGAGGATCCCGCGGCTATACTGAGCGCCCTGGAGAGGTATTTCAAACCGGCAAAAAACATAATCTATGAGCGATATCTGTTTGGATGTTGCAAACAAGAGGACGGTGAATCAATAGACGCCTTTGTGACCAGGCTAAGAGAGAAAGCATCAACGTGTGAGTACGGACAATTAAAAGACGAAATGATACGTGACAAAATTGTGCTGGGCATTGCAAGTGAGAGCTCCAGGCGCAGACTGTTGAGGGAAAAGGATCTTAACTTAGTCACAGCCATCGAGATGTGTCGTGCTGCAGAGCAGACAGATTTAAGGATGCGAGTAATGGAAACTGCTGGGACACACGTAATGCACACCGAGACAGTGCACTCTGCTGTCAGGCAACCAGCTAAGCACTTCAAAGCGAGGCAGAGCGACTCAAACAAGGCGGTGGACCCCAACTGCAGGTATTGTGGAAACACCCACACGAGAGGCAGGGACCACTGCCCTGCTTTCGGGAAGAAATGTAAATTGTGTGGGACTAATAATCACTTTGCTAAAGTCTGTATGAAAAGCAAACGGGGCAGTACCACGGGCAAGGTGCTCTGCATGGACGGGGAAGCTGAGTCAGGGCAGAGCAGTGAGGAGGAGACACATCTGTACATGATTGAGTCAGTCAGTGCAGTGGGACAGACTAAAGGGAAAAAATGGTTCGTCACACTAAAGTTCAACAGCAAATCACCAGTGTTGGGCACGTTACTTTGAAAAAGTAATTAGTTATAGTTACTAGTTACTTCTCCCAAAAAGTAACTGAGTTACTAACGGAGTTACTCCACTATAAAAGTAACTAGTTACCAGTAAAAGTAACTATTGCGTTACTTTTTCGTTTTGTTCTGGAACATAATGTGCACCCGACGTGCGCATTTTTACCTTTAACAGTGCCAATATTTCCATCTAGAAAAGGCTGTTTTGCTGCTGAAGTCCTGTTCACTCTTCATCTCTCTGTGCTGTAAAGCCCGCCACTGTGAATGTGGAAACACCGGTGACGAGCGGTGAGGCTGGTGAAGCACTGACTTCAGTCCAATCAGATGAACATATACATCATATAAATCAAGTGGACAATTTGTTTGGCTACAGCAAAATATGTTTTATGCCCGCATTATTTGTTCATACAAAACGCAAAACTATGAGTTATGGGTCTTACCCTATACCTTATAAATGACCTGCACAGTCCACTTCGGTTCAGACCAGTTCCTTGTTTAAATCCAGTGAATGGTTTGAGCGTAGATATGTAATCCTCCATTTGGAAATGAGTCCAATGAGTTTTAAAAAGTAAAACAAAACGCGTGTGTCCTCCGTAAACTCCTCTGTTTTGCTGCAGCCGGCTGCATCCAATTTCTAAAATCAACCGTCTTACACTTCACCTCTCTTTCTTATCATTCCTATAGTAATTGAAAAATTACCCTATGTGCATTTTAGATTATGTAAAAATGTGTTATATGTATGTTAGCCAAACCTGTTGCTGTCCTTAGCAGATAAACCAGGAAGAGCAAGGAGCTTATCGATGGAATTGTATGCAGCCGACTTCTGCGCTCACATGCGCTCCTCTGAGGCTGGCCTCACGGTGATACAAGCCGTGGTTGAGCGCGATTAAGACCCATATTTGTTTCAAAAACACAATTTATGAGCCATCCTCTCAACTGTAGACATGTAGATTGTAAAGGAAATATGATTTACATCAGCCAATAATTGCTGAGAGGTTTTCTCATCCTCCCTTCTCTCATGACAACACGTTCATTGTGCGTCTTGAGTAACGCGCAGTAACGGGATGTCGGAAATGATAACGGCGTTATAGTTACTGTCAAAGTAATTAGTTAGATTACTCGTTACTGAAAAAAGTAACGGCGTTAGTAACGCCGTTACTAGTAACGCCGTTATTCCCATCACTGCAAATCACAGAGGTGCCAGCTTGACTCGGGAGCCACCTGCAACATAATGACACTGAAAGATAAGAAAAAGCTCTCATCCAAAGGAAAACTACGCCAAAGTAATGCCAGCCTCAGACTGTACTCGGGGGAGATAATAAAGTCATTGGGAGTTTTTGACACAGAATGCACGATCCAAGGCATTAAGCACAAGCTCTCCTTTGAGATAGTAAGAAAGGGTCAGTTGCCTCTCCTGTCAGGCGATACCTGTGAACGTCTTGGTTTCATACGTTTCACTATTCCGGAAGATGCACTCAAGGTGGACACTGTGGTGCGAGCAGGACATTTGACCAAAGACACTGTGGTCAGCAATTACAACGATGTGTTTACTTCACCCGTGGAGGCATTACCTGGCGAAGTACATTTCGATCTAGATCTGGACGTGAAGCCAGTACAAAGTGCTCCCCGCAATGTCCCCATTGCTCTGAAAACTGCAGTTAAGGCCCAGCTTGACAAATATGAAGCAGAGGGGCATGTTGCACCTGTCACAGAGCCAACAGACTGGATCAGTAACATGGTCATTGTGAGCAGACCACAAAAACTGAGAATTTGTCTTGATCCCAAGTTTCTGAACAAGGCTCTACGGCGCTCCCACTACATAATGCCGACTCTGGAAGATGTATTATACAAGCTGCCCAAAGCAAGGACCTTCACGTTGTCGATGCCAGAGATGCCTTTTTGCAGTGTAAGCTAGACACAGAGAGCAGTTTCATGACTACCTTTTGGACACCATGGGGTAGAAAACGCTGGCTAAAACTGCCTTTTGGTGTGTCTGTAGCACCGGAAGTATATCAAAGAAAGCAGCATGAGCTACTGGCAGGTCTGGAAGGCATCGAGCCCATTGCTGACGACATTCTGGTGGTGGGCTGCGGTGATACGGACGAGGAAGCAGAATCCGACCATGACACCAAACTTCTGGCTCTGCTAAATCGCTGCAGAGAAGTTAAGCTGAGGCTTGGACTAAAAAAGCTTCAATTCAAGATGTCCGAAGTCCGTTTTCATGGCCACATTCTCTCAGCTGCAGGTCTTAAACCCGATCCGGAAAAGGTGAGGGCGATAATCGATATGCCAAATCCTACCGATGCAAAAGGAGTACAGAGGCTGGTGGGGTTTGCAAACTATCTGGCCAAGTTCATGCCCCACCTTTCAAGTGTCTGTGAGCCTCTGCGACGTTTGCTAGACAAGGACACTCCTTGGCATTGGCTGCCAAAACATGAAGCTGCCATACAAGAACTTAAGTCTTTAGCTACAACTGTGCCAGTACTGCGATATTATGATGTGTCCCAGCCTGTCACAATCCAGAGTGACGCGAGTCAGAGCGGGCTTGGCTGCTGTCTCATGCAAGAGGGACAGCCTGTTGCATTCGCTTCACGAGCTCTCACCGCTACTGAGCGGAATTACGCACAGATTGAAAAAGAATGTCTCAGCATTGTCTTTGCATGTCAGAGATTCCACTACTATTTGTATGGCCGTGACGCTATCACAGCAGAAACAGACCACAAGCCCTTAATTTCAATTTTCGGCAAGCCTCTCCTCAGCGCTCCAAAAAGGCTTCAGGGCATGCTCATGACTCTTCAAAGCTACAGTCTCTGTGTAGTATACAAACCGGGACAGGAAATGTTTATCAGCGACACACTCAGTCGGGCAACAGCGGCCTGTGCCAGCAATGCTAACTACTACCAGCGACATGCTATCTGTTTTCTGCAGGAGGTCCAGGAGGACCTGCAACAGGTGAACCAAGCAGATTACCTGAACGTAACGGGCCAACGCCTGGAACAAATCAGGCGACACACAGACAATGATGAGGGTCTGCAGGCATTGAGGTACACAGTCACCACAGGCTGGCCGGATCTCAAAGAGCAGGTGCCCGTCATTATTAGAGGATACTGGCCCTATCGTGATGAGATCAGTGCTCAGAATGGCATCTTATTCAGGGGTCAGAGAGTGGTTATTCCCAAATCACTCCGTACAGAGATGTTGGCACGCATTCATGCTAGCCATATTGGGGGAGAAGCATGTTACAGGCAAGCTCGGGAGACATTGTTCTGGCCGAACATGCAGTCAGAGATCAAAGACTTTGTCAGCACTTGCACTACATGCAATGAGTACGCACATGGCCAGCAGAAAGAGACTATGCTCTCACATCCACTCCCAACAAGGCCATGGCAAATAGTCAGCATGGATCTCTTTGCTCACGGGCGCAAGGAATACCTGCTCATTGTAGATCACTATTCTGACTTTTGGGAGATTGAGCTCCTCCCTGATCTTTCAGCAGAGACTGTGATCAAGCGCTGTAAGGCTCAGTTTGCAAGACATGGCCAGCCGGACAGGGTCATCACAGACAATGGCCCTCAGTTTACTTCCGCATTTGCTCGTTTCGCCTCAGAGTGGGAATTTGAGCATGTGACATCCTCTCCAAGGTATCCCAAAGCAAATGGTAAGGCTGAATCTGCCGTCAAGATTGCAAAGAATCTGCTTCGCAAGGCAGCTCGGGATGGAAACGACCCTTGGAAAGCAGTGTTGCACTGGCGCAATACTCCGACAGAAAACATGGACAGCAGCCCAGCGCAACGTCTCATGTCCCGTCGCCTTAAGACATCCATTCCTGTGACCAACAAACTCCTTGAGCCGGTGGTGGTGACAGGAGTTACTGAGAAGCTTCAATACAGGAGGCAGCTCGCCAAGTCGTTCTACGACCGGTCAGCGCGGGTCCTACCGGAGCTGGAGGTAGGAGAGACTGTCAGAATGAAGCCTCCTCCTGGCGACACCTCCCGCATATGGAGAGCTGGAACCTGTCTTGGCAAGGTCGCGCCTCGGTCTTACCTTGTGGACATGGACGGTTCTGTTTATCGCCGCAACAGAGTGGATCTTAGAGTGGCAGAATCGGGGGCTGCTCTGGGATTTGGGGACAGTGAGTGTGTACCTACTGTCAGTTCAGAAGTAAGGGAGATGGGGGCTTATCCTACTATTGCCGGTTCAAGCCCTGCTAGGCCCGTAGTAGAGGCCTCACCAGCTACTCACACGCCTGTAGCCTCCACTGTTACTGTAGGTGTAGGGGAGGGGTTGGTACGCACCAGGGCAGGGCGCCTTTCAAGGCCACCTAAAAGAATAGACTGGTAACCGGTATTATAATAGTTTATATTTCATATGGTTCCTCTGTTTTATTTTAGTTGCATTGGTTAGTTTTAAAAATGTTGTTTGTTGTTTACTGCCATGTTATGTTTATACCAGGCAACTTTAGGAATTTTGTTATAGCATTCTTGAGCTGTTTTGGAAAAGGAAGATGTTACAGAGTCTAGTGCTTTATGTATTCTGTCATCCTATCATAAGCACCGCCAGGGCGCATGCGCGTGTGTCTCATATACGGCCTTGGTGCCGCAGTCTTGCTCAGTTTGATAAAGCACCTTATACTTAACTCGTGTCTCCGCATTCCTTCTCTACCGTTCTGCACTAGACACAAACACTTATAAGGCCCAATGGAAAGATGATTTTGGCTTGTCATGGAAGAATTTCTATCTGTGGAATTGTATTATTACAGTTAGGCTTACGTTTATATATACATAATAGACACTTTTTTTGTTCCCCTTTGAAATGTTGTTCATTTGTGTGAATATAATGTGGCTTCAGGCTTTTGATAATTCACTTTGCTTTACATTTTCTGAAGTATCACATCTTGGAAAATATACACATTGATTTGGTCTAAATATCATACAAAACAGTAACATGTCTTACCTCTGTTGAAGTCATCCCCGCAAATCTGTAACTTATCGAGGACAGGACCATATCAGCTGTTGTTTATGTTCTGTTCCTCGTGCACGCGCCTCTCATTCAGACTGCAGTTACACTTCTGGCCAGAGGGGGGTTCGTGAGCACAAAAATTGCAAGCTCCGCAAGGCTCCTTTGAGATTGTGAAACATGGTTCTGTTAAAACGTATCTGAGACCTGTCAACGATGTAATAGTAACTTTTGTCCCAAAACATTGGTAACGATTAAATATTGGTACATTCTTTAATATACCAGGCGGGGAGTGTACTGTTACACCCTTTTTTTGTTATGTACATTTTATAAATTGTTTTTTTTTTGGCGAGTTTGAATACTGCCCTCTAGTGGACGACTTGGGTATAAGTTTCGTTTTTTCTGCACACTCATCATTCAACGGTCAGCTCACTCAGACACCCGTTTTTCAGCCTTGGGGCATCTTTGTCCGTAAGTGATGTATGATGTGTGGTTTTTGATGTTCTTTTGTTGATAAAAATTTGTACAAATAAGAATTTGAGAAAATGAGAAGTTCTTTTTGTTGCTACTACTTTTCTAACTGCTAATTTTGTGTGTTAGCTCCATTTTGTTTTAAGCTAGGCTTTACGCTCCAATCTAAAGTTCAGAAGTACAAAAATGTATTTTTTCTGTGTTACACGAGTTACATGAGTACAAATGTAAGATGTAGTGTTTCATTTACTGACTGTGTAATAAGCTGTAATATTCATTCATTTCTTTTGGAAGCTCATTGTTTGGTACAATTTATTGATACTTGTTTCTATGTATTGTGTTACAGTTTTACAACTTTAAAGAGACAAGTGTGGAGCAAAAAGTAAAAGTTAACGTCTCTACATGGTCTACCGGACGCTCTTTTGTTGTTTGCTATCTGTCTAGCCCTGGTTATGTGACACCATAGTGAGGACAGAAAAGAGAGAATAGCAAAAGCTAAAAATTGGTCAGATGCAGAGTGCGCAATTATGCTCCAATCAGTTCTTACGGGAAAAGCACAAATGGAGCTTAAGCGGAGGTTCAGTATGGTAGACTACCTACGTTATCACACCAGGCTTGACCACGCCTTACTCAGCCTGTCTTAATCAACTCCCCGCAGCCGTGTCAATCAAGCCAGCGTTTAAGAGCAAAGCAGAGCACAGCTCACCAAACGGACTTCAAGCTGCAATGGGTTGCTCTTCGTCACTTTGTTTACTCACGCCTCGCACATTGTTCGTCCTGCATGGTCGCGGCTCCTCTTCCACATCACATGTTGGGGGCTGCGCGCCATGGTCGCTGTGTCTCCACCGCGGCTCACCGCGGCTCCTCTCCTGCGGACTCGCTGCCGCTCGTCTCCCCGTGGCCGCTGCTGCTCGCGGCCAGGCGTTACTCCGCGCACCCTGCCGCTTCCATACCGGGAACGGGACTTCTGTCTGCCTGCCGTTGTCTGCTGCCTCTGTCCACCCGTCTCCCTGCCTCCACTCACGGTACAGTGTCGGTTTTGTTGTTTTCCACACTACCATGAACTGTACTGAACTGCGGCGTGTCAGTTAATCCCGCCGAATTGGCTCGCAGGCTGTATTTTTACCCGCTGCATTGCTCTTCAGTCTGTTCGTTTTACCATCTGCATTGGCATTTAGACCGTCCGTTTTCACCATGGACCGCACATTTTAACCACTGTATTGGCCTTCTGGCTGTCCGTTTTACTCATGGGATGAACATTCTACACAATGCAGTGACCTCCAGGCTGTCCGTTTGACTATGGTCTGAACATTTTACCCACGCATTGACCTTCAGGCTGTCAGTTGTAACCATGGACTATAACATTTGTCGTCTGCATTGGCCTTTGCGCTGTCTATTTGACCGTGGACTGTAAGTTTTGCCCACTGCATTGCCTCCCGGCTGTCCGTGTCTGATGAGCTGCTCTGATTGGTCGGAGCGCGGCCGAGCCCCTCTGTACTGTTCGTTTTAACCAGTGCGTTGGCCTTCAGGCATGCTTCAACGGCCTCACTTCAACGCTTCATCGCAGCACACGTCGGTGGCCGCACACTTCAACGCCCACACGCTTCGCCGACGCCACTTCGGTGGCCGCACGCTTCGACGACGCCACTTCGGTGGCCGCACGCTTCGACGACGCCACGTCGGTGGCCGCACGCTTCGACGACGCCACGCTTCGACTCCTCCTCCACGCTTCGACTCCTCCTCCACGCTTCGACTCCTCCTCCACGCTTCGACTCCTCCTCCACGCTTCGACTCCTCCTCCACGCTTCGACTCCGGCGCACGCTTCGACTCCGGCGCACGCTTCGACTCCGGCGCACGCTTCGACTCCGGCGCACGCTTCGACTCCGGCGCACGCATGGACTCCGGCGCACGCATCGACTCCGGCGCACGCATCGACTCCGGCGCACGCATCGACTCCGGCGCACGCATCGACTCCGGCGCACGCATCGACTCCGGCGCACGCATCGACTCCGGCGCACGCATCAACAAAGGCGCTCGCTTGGGCGGCGCACGCCTTGACGCGGCACGCCTTGACGCCTCAACAACGCCGCACGCTACGCCGCAGCACGCTTCAACGATGGCGCACGCTTTGACGCAGCACGCTTTGACGCAGCACGCATCAACGATGGCGCACGCATCAACGACGCAGCTCGCTTGGACGCCGCACGCCTTGACGCCGGCGCACGCCTTGACGCCGCAGCACGCCTTGACGATGCCGCATGCATCAACGACGCCGCTCGCTTGGACGCCGCTCGCTTGGACGGCGCACGCCTTGACGCCTCAACGACGCTGCACACCTTGATGCAGCACGCTTCAACGACGGCGCACGCTTCAACGACGGCGCACGCTTCAACGACGGCGCACGCTTTGAGGCAGCACGCTTTGAGGCAGCACGCTTCAACGACGCCGCACGCTTTGACGCAGCACGCTTCATCACAGCACACGTCGGTGGCCGCACGCTTCATCGCCGTACGTCGGTCGGCGCACACGCTTCCACGTCGGTGTCCGCCTCCTGCCGCATTCTCGACCTCATGCTTCGACGCATTCGTGTGCTCTCATCCATTCATCGTGGAATCAGTGTCGACCATGGACTCGCGTTCCCTATTGGTGGGTGAACAATCCAACGCTAGGAGAGTTCTGCTTCACAATGACGGGAAGAGCCGGCATCGAAGGATCAGGTCAGTGGTCTGACTGAAGACGTGGTCTGACTGAAGACGTCGGTCCTTTTCACTCGAGTGATAGTGGTTCGAGGTTTCTCTTTTCAGCTTCGCTGGAACGTGATGCCGCAATGCCGCATCAAAGCTCTGCTACAACGCCGCGACGGTGGCCTGCTGCAACGCTGGCCTGCTAGGACTGCATGAGTACTGTTCGGCGTGGCCTTCGAACCTGGCCGGCTATCTTCCCCAGGCCGCACTCATTGGCTTTTGGTGTGCAGCACTGCCCGCCACGGTTTGTGTGCATGCTGAGTGGCTGTAGACGGTGCTCCTTCTCAATGTTCCCCAGGCATATTCTATCCTGGTCTCCTGGTGCGGCTCCGCCGGGCCTGTCTCACGCTTCGCCTTACCTGACGCACCCTGGCCCTCATTCTGACCGGGCCCTTGTGCGTTGGTTTTTGGGGGTCCAGAGATCTCCTATCGAACATCTTCCTGGGTAAGTGTACTTCATTTTCACTTTCTAGTCTCCCCAAGTGGAATCATGTTCGAATATCAGCGCTCTAAACACCAGCAGTTCATCCTTCATTCAGCATTCTCCTTTCCCTCTCACTGCACACTCTCAGTCTCTGGACATCAGCATCGCGGGTACTGCCGTCACTGCCTCATCTACATCGGCATTAAATACATTCTCTAAAATCCACTTCGAGTCACACTGCTCCACCCTCATAAGAAGATCCTTAAAGGAGTATTGGCAATGGTCCTTGTTCTGTAGTTTAGGTCCTGGACGACTAGCCTGTCTGTCCGTGGAGTGGATTCCCTCTCTCAATGTAGGGTCTTCCGAAGGTTTCTCACTTTTTTCCCCACGGGGTTTTGTGAGTTTTCCTTGCCATGCAGGAGGGTCTGGACAGTTAGTGTCCAACTAGAAGGCCCGTGGTGATGATCCAGGATACTTTAACATTCTACAACATCTATGGACATTTTATCAACATTCATAGACTATAATTACTCCTTAAACAATCCCTCGACGACCCCCTGGTCTGAACAAATTCAAAACCTCTGCTCCCTGCATGTAACCTCTCTTCCTTTCTCTACACCTGCCACTCCTTCCGGATAGGAGCAGCCACTTGGACTGCTGCCCTGGGACTCCCTCAATCATCTCTCCAGGAGCTCGGTCCCCGGTTCTCTACCACATTCATCCGTTCTGGCAGCCCAGCGCCTCCTCTCATATAAGTACGTATTCATCTCCTGGTGGTGGCAACTCCTCATTTCCAGCATGCCGCGCACTCGAGCCGAGCTCGTGCGCGTGCCAACGCCTAGCGCTAGAGCCGAGCTCGCGCACGGAAACAGTCACTCACACCATGCGCCTTCCATAAACGCAGCAACCAAGTCATGGCAAACGCATCGCTAGCCAAGCTCTCTTTTTGGGGATCATGATCTGCACCCAGGCGCAGATCTCTTCAAAACACGGCCACAGCCGGAGCCTAAGCTCCAAACCAATAAACAAACTCAATCCATAAAATAAACAACTCTTAAACGCATCTCGTCTCTTGTAGTCTCTCCAGGTTGAAATGGAGCTTAAGCGGAGGTTCAGTATGGTAGACTACCTACGTTATCACACCAGGCTTGACCACGCCTTACTCAGCCTGTCTTAATCAACTCCCCGCAGCCGTGTCAATCAAGCCAGCGTTTAAGAGCAAAGCAGAGCACAGCTCACCAAACGGACTTCAAGCTGCAACCACCTCCTCCCCACCTCCGCCTCAGGATTTCTTCACTCTCACATTCACCTTGCCTTGTTGCCACCACCAGTGTCTAGGCCCCGGGGGATCATGATCTGCACCCAGGCGCAGATCTCTTCAGAGCACGGCCACAGCCGGGGCCTAAGCTCCAAACCAATAAACAAACTCAATCCATAAAATAAACAACTCTTAAATGCATCTCGTCTCTTGTAGTCTCTCCAGGTTGAACAGGCATATTCTTCTTTGAGTGAGCAAGATTGTCTAAATTATGACACCATTAAATCCACAGTTCTCAAAGCATACGAGCTAGTTCCAGAGGCTTACCGACAACGTTTTAGGTCCTGGGATAAAAAATATGGCCAAACCTATGTCGAGTTTGCTAGAGATCTTGTTACCCACTTTAAACGCTGGTTATTGGCTTTAGATGTTGCTGATTTTGATGGGCTTTGTGATCTTATTATTTTGGAGCAGTTTAAAAGCACGCTCCCCGAACGACTTCTTACTTATTTAAATGAACGGAAAATGTCTACGGCTTTGGAAGCTGCTACTTTGGCGGACGAATATGTTTTAATACATAAGAACAGTGTCAAGGACCGTACCTCTGTGCGCACGGATTGGAAACGTGAAAATCCTACGGCAGCGGTTACTGCTAAAAGTAATGGAGAGTCTCGTTCACATTTTGACTCTGTTAAGGTGTGTAATTATTGCCGTGAGAAAGGCCATTTTAAGGTGGACTGTCCAATTTTGAAGTCAAAAAATTATACGGGTAAATCAAATGTGAAGCCTGCCGCTTTGGCAGCGCCCGTTAGTAAAACATTGGCTGTATCTGACACTACGTCTGATTTTTGTGACAGTGACTTGTTGAGTTCATATGCACCGTTTATCAGAGAGGGGTTTTTGTCTCTCATCGGGAGTGAAACCAAAATACCAATCAAAATCCTGCGGGACACAGGGGCCCATGATTCTTATGTAGTGAGCTCTGTGTTGCCATTTTCTTCTGACACTGAAACAGGTGATTTTATTCTGAGTCGAGGCATGGGGCTAACTGTGTTGCCCATTCCGCTGCATGAGATGGTTGTAGAGTGTGAGCTTGTGTGTGGCCCAGTGTGTGTGGGTGTGCGCCCGGCATTGCCGATTGACGGGATTGATTTTATCCTTGGCAATGGTTTGGCAGGGAGCATACCACCCCGAGTGCACTTGTGGTACAGACTCAAAGCTGTCACCTGGACCACTTGCAGTCTCACCTGTTGTGACATGGTGTCCATCCACTTTTGAAGAGTGTCCTCCTCCTCTTCAGGATGTATTCTCTGCATGTGCGGTCACACGCGCCATGCGTAAAGCAGAGTTAGAATTGGTGTCTCCCGGTGAAGGGCAAAATCTCTTGTCTCTGGCGCATTTCCCGTTGCATGTGAACCACAAGGAATTTGTGCAAAATCAGCGTAGTGATCCCACATTGAAAAGTTTATTTGATTCGGTTGGGCCTGCTGGCGAAATTGACAGTCTGGCGAATGGTTACTTTGTCCAAAACGAAATACTGTTTAGGAAGTGGAGTTCTCTGAGTGGGTGTGCGCGATGCTTTATTTCAGCTTGTTGTCCCTGCTGAATATCGTTCTGTGGTGTTGAAGGTTGCTCATGAGGAGAAGGGTCAGTTTGGCGTGCGTAAAACATACTTAAATTTGCTTAAACATTTTTTTTGGCCTTGTGTTAAAAAGGACGTTTCAGCTTTCATTAAAACGTGTCATGTGTGTCAGTTGACTGGAAAGCCAAACCAGAAGATAAAACGTGCACCGTTGCAGCCTATTCCGGTTATGGGCGAGCCGTTTGAATATCTCATTATTGACTGTGTTGGTCCGCTGCCCGTTGCAAGATCTGGCTGTAAATACCTTCTCACGGTAATGTGTCAAAGTACGCGTTATCCAGCGGCATTCCCATTAAGGTCAATCACGACAAAAGCCGTGGTAAAAGCGTTGTCACAGTTTATATCAGTTTTTGCTATTCCTAAAGTGATTCAAAGTGACCGTGGGTCTTACTTTTCGTGCGTAAAACACAATCAGTCCACAGCCTATCATGCGCAGAGTCAGGGTGCGTTGGAGCTCTTTCATCAGACGCTCAAGTCTCTACTGCGTGCGTATTGCACGGAGCTTCAGAGGGACTGGGAAGAAGGGCTCCCTTGGCTCATGTTAGCTGCGAGAGAGGCTGTCCAGGAGAGTACGGGGTGCAGCCCAAATAAACTTGTTTTTGGCCACTCGGCCCGCGGCCCTTTGGCTGCATTAAAACATGGTTTGTTGGAGGTCGCACCGCCAAAAAACTTGATTGATTTCGTTAATGGTTTTCGTCATCGTTTATTTATGGCAGGGTGCATGGCTAAGGAAAAGCTGCAGCAATCCCAAAAGAAAATGAAGTATGTGTATGATCGTCGTTCGGAGTTACATGAGTTTAGTCCAGGAGATCAGGTCCTTGCTCTTACACCTGTTGTGACGTCTCCGTTTCAGGCTAAATTCACTGGTCCATATACTGTTACGGATAAGGTGACTGATTTGAACTATTTGATTGCGACAATAGGCAGAAGAAAGTCTACACAACTCTGTCATGTAAACCTGTTAAAGCCTTATTATCAGCGTGCCCCGGTCGTAGAGGCCCATGGGGGGGATGGCCCCGTGCGTCCTGCGCTGGCCGTTGATACTGTGGTTTTAGCTCCGGAGGATAGTGTTCCGGAGCCGGATGACAGCTTGTTGTGTGGCCGTTTGAAGAACTCAGAGTCGTTGGGCAAGCTGCACGCATTACTGTCTCATCTGTCCGAGATGCAGCGTTGTGAGATGTCCCGATTGATAGAGTTATCCTCAGTTGTTTGGTGATATCCCTTCTCGAACCACGTGGATGGAGCATGATATTGATGTCGGTGATGCTCAGCC